TATCCGGTTTTTCACAGCAACGTCTGACCTCTCTGACTTCGACGTCTTGCTTCTTATCAGTCACTTTAGGCTATTTCAACATAGCCTGTTTTGATTCTTTCCGATACTGCCTTTCCCCTATTACGCAAAGATTTAATTAACTCCATCTTCTTCCTAATTTTGTCGCCATTCCCTTCTACCAACAGCATCTTCTGCCATCATTTCGATGAGCTGCAGTGAAGTTTCATATATTTTGAAGGCCTTCTTCAATCAACACATCGTTTCAGATGTTGTCAACAACATTCATCGCTCAGATGAGTGTCGGATCAGCTGGAATCCTTCTTGCCATCTCGTTGATCACCATCTTCCTCACTGCAAGAGAGATTAACGACGTCTACAGAGAAGCGATGGAGGACCTCGACGAATGGAAGGTGAATGAATGGATCATCCAGCAATTTTTGAGCTGTTTAGTGATTTTCGCAAAAGAAAGCTCAGCGAGTACTTTGAAGTTCTGCTTTTTAAATCTTTGGCTGATGTTTGGCTTCTACTCAACCTTTTTTTTTGCCCATTATTCTGCAAAATTTCATACTTTGCAGCCGAATTCTAGAGCATCATGCAGCTTCCTTGAGCCGTTTGTCAATACCAACCCCAATATAGGTGTAGTAGTAGTTTTGCTGATTACTCCTCCTCAGGATGAAGCAACACCAGTCTATAGACGCCATCATCCTAACGAGTAATCGTTATCACCCTCTTTCTAATAGCTAATGAAATAGTCGCTANCTGTATTTTCAGTCGATTTTGAATTCATGCCCTTTGGAATATCTAGAACATGGTCAGAGTGCTGTTTAATAGTAGTAAATATTCACAATACACCCACGCTCCAAATATAGAAATTTCGCAAGATTAGATCCAGTAGGAAAGGAGTTACGTCTGAGAAGTACGGCTGAAGAACCATTTCACCGAAGACTTTTGAGCGCTACTGTAGGTGTAGTAACAATTTTGCTGATTCCTTCTCCCCAGGATGAAGCAGCACAAGTCTATAGGGGCCATTATCCTAACGAGTAATCGTTATCACCCTCTTTCTAATAGCTAATGAAACAGTCGCAAGTTATTGATAGCCCTCTGAACTAGTTCCGAGTTATCCCAATGGCTATTGCTAGCTTTCCAAAAAAGCAGTTTAAAAAAATGGATATATTCAGCGCTACTCGGACGAAGCTTGGGACGATATGAAATCACTGCAGCAACGAGCACCAAGGCAGGTGCCGGATCGTGCACGAACGATTACAAGACGAAATCCCTACTACATTTCACCTCCTGCAAGTCCCTATTCTGCTCCACAGGCAGCTTATGTCCAGCCGGATATATGCAGTGGGTATTTGTGGCCTGATTATTTATAATTGAAACACGTTAAATATTTGCGTACTAAGTGTTCAGGTTGCGCCCAGCAGCCAAACAACTGCCCTAGCGGGCCTGTTGGGCCACCAGGTCAGCCAGGTTCTGATGGAGGTCAGTTGAGATTCATTTTTTCTAGTTTAATAAACTTTTGTACTTTTGAACTATTGGAAACCTTTAGTTCATTCAATTCACGAAGATTGACTGGTAACCAGAGAAGCTAGGACGGTAATCCATTGCTGCGAATATGCCGCGACCTTTGATAATCTAAACAGCTTCCTATTATTTTTTCTCGTTTTTGAGAACTGCTCCCGATTTCATTTGGAGCCGCTCGTTTCATCTTAGAAATAGAGGCATAGTTGTCCTTCACTGGAAATTCTTAGTGCTTATGCAACCACCAGCGTTCAGATACGAGCAGTGCTTCTCCCCTCCTACTCATAGTTGTTTTCAGCATCGATCTCAGATGAAAAGTGGAAAGTTGGCTCGAGCCGAGCACAATTTTTGGAACCTTCCTCCCCTATGACGAGTTCCTTTATCCCTATTGTAGATTTTGATCAGATTGGATCTTCCATTGGCATCTACACTGGCTCTCTGAATCCACGGTATGCGCCCGCAGGCCTGTTCACCATGATTTCAGCCAGGCCTAGCAGGCACCATGCCAGAAATTGTAAGCGATCCAAGGGAACCTAGACGAGTTGGTAATTGCCTCATACTAGAGAGTTCGAACATGAACAATCTACTTTCTACTGAACCTATAAGACAGCTGAACTAGGAAACTACAAAGATGCTCCATAGAAAAGCCTTCCCACAGCCATATCGATCCACTCTCCTGTAAAGTGTAGCTATTCCTTTCTTCTCGGGAACGACAACATAATTGGGATTTTCACTGTGATTTATGAAGCTATTTGTAATACGGAGTTTGCTTGTCAACCTAATGTGAACATCCGCTTCGTTCGTTTGGTGGCTTTTGAATTAGGGAAACCAGAGGCCATGAAATAAAGCTTCACACCCATAAGCTACTCTTCAAACTTCAAGCTCCGCTGAGTGGACGATCCGTTCGATGCCCACTATAATAGAGGTCTCCTTTATAAGAAAGACCATTCATAGTGGAGAGTCGTCTTCCTCTAACCTGAATCGGCGGTGCTGCTATTGCGAGTGTGGCGTAAAACCAGTTAGAGTGTATAATTGCTAAAGATAGGTATAGCGAGGGGGCCCAAGATAGCCCAGAAAGGTGTTCCCTTTAGGAACCCTTATGAGTTACCGTTCTTTCCGAGGTAGTAGTAGAGAAAAGGTGATGGTGGTGAAGGGCCTGGGTTACAGACTCATTACGGAGGCATTTCTGCTTATGTCTCTGCTGAAGACCTCTGTATGGAGGGGGCTCAAACCTCAGCTTACAGCACGGCTGAGCTCAGAAAAAACCCCCTGTAAATCAAAAATGAAGAGCAAATCGTCCACTGAATCTAAGAACCCAACTGCTATAAAAGGTCTCCTTACCGGTGAATGTTAGGATAGAATATTGGTATGATATCAGCAGTGTCAAAAAGTAGAACTGAGTGGCTCCGAACTTTCGGTTGGGTAGACTGGCTTACCTACCAGATTTATTCCTTTATGGGAGGTGTAGGAGCCATTCGAGCTCAAAATGCTCGATCACATCAGAGTAACCAAGGATGGAAGGAACCTGTCAACGTTTCGGCAGCTCCGTTCCCTGGTATATGTCAATGGTACTCGTAGAGTACGAGATTTGGGTCACTGGGATGTTGTGCTTATAATAAGAAGGGGTTCGCTAATGGCTTTTCGATACTAGCTACAAAAGTGTTTTTAAGGAGTACTAAAAAGGACTCCTGAGAGGCTAGCATCATTATGATGTGGTTCAGAAATTTTCAGTCTACTTTACTCGCATTCGAAACGTCAGATGGATAAACAAGCCGCTCATTTACAACTTCCTGATGATTATAACCACTCATTGAATAGACGGGTACTCAGGATGTCAGATCGAGAAAAATAAGATCCTCATTTACCTCGCGTATTCGGTCAGGTCGATCGGCCACTGTCGACTTAGAGGCACTAGCTTCTGAATAGAAATTCCAGATGCTCTCTGGCATAACTTCCCTGAATTTCCTCTTGTGTCAGCCAAAAGTTTACGCACAAATTTCGAACGAGTGCTTCATTTCTGTGACGGGCTGTCATCACAGCAGGTGTCCGATGAGAAAGGAAATGTTATTGAATCACTCCTGTGTCCAATCTTCCCGTATTAAATACTTTCATTCATCTATTGACAAAATGATGGCACCTTTGGGGTGAAAATAAATTCGTTACTTAGATCTAATTTGCCTTTTTTTTGACCTGTGACCCTCTTCTGTAGACGAAGTCGTTCGAAGCGTCTTCGATCGACAGTAGCTTTTTTACCTTCGGTAGCGCCATTAAGCGCGTTGTCACAGCTATGGTCCGGGGATCAATTCCGTTGACTGCGACAGAGCTGCTTTGTGCATCAGCTACCACTTGGCAGGGTTCATTCTTTACCCACCGAGTCAAAGAAACGGAAATGTAAAGAAAAAATAAGCAACCTGGTTAACCGAATGTTTACAAACACTGCAAGAGATTTTTTGGAACAAAATGTTCAAGCTTGCTACTTCATTATTTCAGAGCCTGGTTATCCTGGAGAACCAGGACATCCTGGTGCAGACGGTATCACTGTTGGAACGTATCAGGAAGAAACACAGGGTTGTATTCGATGCCCTATCGGCCCTCCAGGACCACCCGGAGTAATGGGATATCCAGGTGAACAGGTGTGTATAGTTCACGAACTACCATTGAAGCTCATCCCTGATGAATAAATACTGAACATTTAGGGTCCACCTGGACCTATTGGTCTACCTGGAGCAGTTGGATATCCAGGGCAGCCAGGTGTGTGCGGACCTCCTGGAGATCCTGGACCCAATGGTAGCTCAATTATTACAAAATCTATCCGCTACTTAATTTTTCCTTCTATCTAAAGAGGAACGACCAATGATGAATGTTACAGGACCACCCGGACTTCCTGGTCCACCAGGAGAGAATGGTTTCGATGTCGTTGTTCAGATAGGCACACCTGGACCGAAAGGCTTGCCAGGAAGACCTGGCCCTCCTGGAAGGCCAGGACCTCAGGGCTATTGTCCACCGCCTGGTCAACCTGGCATCGTTGGACCGCCTGGGCTTCCAGGACAACCGGGCAATCAGGGTTTACCGGGTCAACCAGGATATGTACGTTTCAACTTTTTTCCTGTAATCTTGATATCGTGCTCTTGGAAACTTCATTTTCCCTAACCGATCGCTTTTCAGCCAGGAGTTCCTGGTATACCCGGACAAGACGGGGAATACTGCCCGTGTCCGCCAAAATCTTCATCTTCCAACTCTTACCAACAGAACTCGTATCAACAGAGTAGAGGTAAGTTCACAAGCTCCTTTTTAAAGGGGTTTTCGAAAAAGTATTATGGACCTTATTCAGAAGAGTACGCCACTCAATATGATGGTTACGGTAATAATGTAGATCTCGGCTATGACAATCCCCAGGAGTCTAGAGCGGAGTATCGAAGGAGGTGAGTTCGGATAGATTTTCGTGGTGATTGTGTACAGAACTGTTACAAATTTTCTGCAGAGTAATCGCTCGTATGCTCAGAAGGCGGAGGTTACTCACTCAGAAGAAGCAGGCCTGATCATACCTTTGACCTCGTATTTCCTTGAATCTTGTCTGTGAATATTGAATAAAGCTTATGAGTCCTTATGCGAGTTGCTCTGCAAATAGCTAGGCTCTTCGTAAGCCATGTAATCGATGATTTTCGGAAATTATGAGTTGTATTCGTTGAAG